GTTCGAGGAGCGGCCCAGTTACACACTAATGTCATTAGTTCGTTATCATTACTAAGGTGCAGGACTGCTCTTCCCCCCTTTTTTCACATCATGTCGCCTGCTTGGATCTGTTATAATCTCGTTCTGAAGCACGGAGGCATGTCAGGTGTAAGCTCRTACAGTATCAACTACTTTGTACGACGCGGTCTCATTTCCGGACTCAATAATTTTGTGAATGAAGCCGATATTTCAGTTAAAATACATAAGTAAAAATATTTATCTGAGTATAGTACTACCCCTCAACTTTATGGATGATTTTATGGATTTAATTTTACGTATTATACTTGAATAAATATGGTATATACACTATTTTTGTGAACATATATTTTGTGAATATTTCCATTTGTCTTGATGTGTAAAAATAATAATAAATAATGAAATTCACAATATATTTTATAGTTTTATAATGCCACCTCCACTGGCCGTAAAAGGGCCCAAAAAGGCCATGAGAAGGCCCACGGACCACTAGTTGAAAATCACTAGCTTGTTTTGTGGCTCTAGACTCATTTTATTAGTGAGCCAAGTAGCACAAATGGCTCTTTTGATCATAAAGGGGACTGCGTTTGCCACTAAGTACATTTAATTAATTTTTCTATTTTTATGGCATGGTCTTTTTATTTGTCTTGATGTGTAAAAATAATAATAAATAATGAAATTCACAATTAATTTTATAGTTTTATAATGCCACCTCCACTGGCCGTAAAAGGGCCCAAAAAGGCCATGAGAAGGCCCACGGACCACTAGTTGAAAATCACAGTTGTAGCTTGTTTTGTGGCTCTAGACTCATTTTATTAGTGAGCCAAGTAGCACAAATGGCTCTTTTGATCATAAAGGTTGCAGAACCCGGATCTAGACTGTGATCACATATGTAGTTCAGAAGCATGCCTCACTTATGGTATGGGGGTGCATTAGTGTCTACGACAAGGGCATACCCAGAAAGGCACCATTGACGCAAAAAAAGGGATACACAAGTTTTATAATAACATTTACTCTTGTGTTTCAGCAAGAAAACACTTAACCTCACACTGTTTTCATAACAACAGCACAGCTGTTGTAAAAAAGTCCAGGTTCTGAACTGGTCTGCCTGCAGTCCAGACCCTTCACCAGTTGAAAATATTTGATGCAGCACGAAACCAAAAATGTAGCCAGAACCCACACGTTTAATCCGCTACATCAGACAAAAATGGGACATTTCCCTCCAAGAACTCCAGCAGCTGGTCTTTTCAGTTCCTAGACGTTTACAGACTGTTTTTTTTAAAGAAATCTTTTGAGGTAGTGAAAATGTTTCTGTTTCTGTTCCTACAGACTCTTTGAATCTACAGAGGAGCAGGAAGAAGAGAAGGAAGAGCAGAACCAAGAGGATGTGCCTCCACAACCAGCCAGCCAATCGTACGCTGCCACCGTGGCTCTCCCTCCCACCCTGCCCTCCTCCACTACACTCATGGGTAATAGATATATTTTAATCACGCAAGATAATTTCAATTTAATCTGAACAGAATATATTAC